TCACCTCCACTGCCCCATCACTCCCACCTCACTCACCTCCACTGCCCATCATTCCCACCTCACTCACCTCCACTGCCCCATCACTCCCACAGACTCCTCCCTATCACTTTCAGCCTAAGCCCTCAGCAACAATTCTACCACCACCCTACACAGGTCACTCACACACACACACACACGGGTCACACACACAGGTCACACACACACGGGTCACACACACACATGTGTTACACTCACAGACACAGGTCACACACACATGGGTCACACACTCACAGATACAGGTCACACTCACACAGACACAGGTCACACACACACGGGTCACACAGACACAGGTCACATGCGCAGACAAGGGTCACACATGCACAGACATGGGTCACACTCAGACACTGAGGGGGAATAAAGATGGAGGGGTAGCAGTGTTAATCAAGGATAGCATTGGTGCTGTAATTAGCAACGTCCTTGGTGCACAGATAACACTAAGAAAGGTAGGAAAGTATGTTATAGGTGATGGTCGAGTGGTATTATCGTTCGACAATTAATCCAGAAACTCCGCTCATGATCCGGGGACCCGGGTTTGAATCCCTCCACAGCAGACAGTAGAATTGGAGTTCAATAAAAAAATTCTGGAATTAAGAATGCACTGATGACCATGAAATCATCGTTGATTGTTGGAAAAATCCAGCAGGTTCACAAATGTCTTTCAGATTAGGACAGCTGTCTCACAGATTATTCAAATAACAGCCTGACACAGTCAGACTCTTCTGACCTTATGATGGAGGGAAGGTCATAAATGAAGCAGCTGAAGATGGTTGGGTGTAAGTCACTACCCTGAGGAACTCCTGTCGTGATGTCCTGGAGCTGAAATGACTGACCTCCAACAACCATGACCATCTTCCTATGTCTCAGGTATGACTCTAACAAATGGAGAGTTTGCTCCCTGATACCTATTGATTCCAGTTTTACTTGGGCTTCTTGATGCTACAATCAAACAAATGGGGCCTTGATGTCAAGGGCTGTCACTCTAATGGAATTCAATTCTTTTGTCCATGTTTGAACCAAAGCTGTAGTGAGGTCAGGAGCTGAGTGGCCCTGGAGGAACCCAAACTGGGCGTCACTGAGCAGGTTATTGCTGAGCAGGTGCTGCTTGATAGCACTGTTGCTGACACCTTCCATCACTTTACTGATGATTGAGAGGAGACTGATGGGGCGGTATTTGGCTGGGTTGGATTTGTCCTGCTTTTTGTGTACAGGACATGCTTGGGCAATCTTCCACATTGTTGGGTAGATACCAGTGCTGTAACTGTACTGGAACAGCATGGCTAGGGGAGCAGAAAGTTCTGGAGCACAAGTCTTCAGTACTATTGCCGGAATGTTGTCAGAGCCTTTGCAATATCCAGTGTCTCCAAATGTTTCTTGATATCACGTGGAGTGAACTGGATTGGACGAAGGCTGGTATCTGTAATGCTGGAGACCACTGGTGGAGGCCAAAATGGATCATCCACTCAGCAATTCTGACTGAAGATTGTTGTGAATGTTTCAGCCTTATCTTTTGTAATGGTGTGTTGGGTCCATATCTCTGTCTATCACTTGCTGCTTTGCTGTTTGGCATGCAAGTAGTCCCGTTTGGTGGTTTCAGCAGGTTGACACCTCATCTACAGGTATGCCTGGTGTTGATCCTGGTGTGCCCTTCTGCACTTCCCTGGCTTGATGGTAATGGTTGAGTGGGACATATGCTGGGCCATGAGGTTACAGATTGTACTGGAGTACAATTCTGCTGCTGTTGATGCCCACAGCGTCTCTTGGATGGCCAGCCTTGAGTTGCTAGATCTGCAGGATGTCTGCACCATTTAGCACAGTGGTAGTGCCACACAAAATAATGGAGAGTATTCTCAATGAAGGTAGGACTTCATCTCCACAAGGACTGTGCAATGGTCACTCTTACCGATACTGTCATGGACAGATGTATCTGCAGCTGGCAGATTGGTAAGGATGAGGACAAGTATGTTTTCCCTTCTTGTTGGTTCCCTCATCACCTGTTGCAGACCCAGTCTAGCTGCTACGTCCTTTAGGACTCGACCAGCTTGATCGGTAGTACTGCTGCTGAGCCACTGTTGGTGGCTCATTGACATTGAAATCACATTTTGCATCCTCGCCACCCTCAGTGCTATTATTCAAGTGTTATTCAACATGGAGGAGTACTGATTCATCAGCTGAGGGAGAATGGTATGTGGTAATCAACAGAAGGTTTTCTTGCCCATTTTTAACTTGAAGCCATGAGACTTCATGTGGTCCCAAGTCAATGTTGAGGACTCCCAGGGCAACTACCTCCTGATTGTATTGCTCTTACCACCACCTCTGCTGGGTCTGTCCTGCTGGTGTGACAGGTAATATCTGGGGATGGTGATGGTGGCGTTTAGGACATTGTAAGGAATGACAAATCCAACCCGGCCAATTACCGCCCCATCAGTCTACTCTCGATCATCAGTAAAGTGATGGAAGGTGTCAGCAACAGTGCTATCAAGCAGCACCTGCTCAGCAATAACCTGCTCAGTGGTAATGACTCCCCAAAGTGTGTCCATGATCTACAAGGAACAAGTCAGTTATATGCTGGAATACCCACACTTGCCTGATGATGCAGCTCCAACAACACTCAAGAAGCTTGACACCAGCCAGGTCAAAGCAACCTGTTTGATTGGCACAGCATCCACAAGCATCCACTCCCTCCTCCATCGACCCTCAGTAGCAGCAGTGTCTACTATCTACAAGATACACTGCAGAAACTCACCAAGGATCCTCAGACAGCACCTTCAAAACCCATGAACCATTTCAATCTGGAAGCACGAGGTCAGCAGATAATGTAAACACCACCACCTTCAAGTTCCCCTCCAAGCCACTCACTATCCTGCCTTGGAAATATATTGCCATTCCTTCAATGTCGCTGGGTCAAAAACCTGGAACTCCCTCCCTCCCTCCAGCACGTGGACAGCACTTGTTCAAGAAGGCATCTCATTACCACCTTCTCACAGGCAACCACAGACAGGCAACAAATGCTGGTCCAACCAATGATGCCCACATCTCACAAGTGCATAAAAAATGACATTCAATGGTGTTGCCATCACTGAATTCTCCACTATCAACACCCTGAGGGTTACCATTGACCAGAAATTCAACTGGACTCACTGTAATAAATACATTGGCTATAACAGCGAGGCAGAGGTTAGGAATCCTACAGCGAGTAACTCACAGGGAGTAACTTTAGGAAGTCGAGAAGTGAGTTATTGTCCAGTAAATAAAACAAAATGCAGTGACAAGGAAGGAAGGAAGTTACAACGGATGTAGGTAAGTTGAGTGAATGAGCAAACATCTGGCAGATGCTAAATAATGTAGGAAAATGTGAAGATATTCACTTTGCCAGGAAAAATGAAGAAGCAGAGTAATACTTTATTGGAACACGAGTAGAATTCCAAGGTGCAGAGGAACTTAGGTGTTCTAGTTCATGATTCACAAAGTGTTAGTATATAGGTGCAGCATCGAATCAGGAAGGCTAATGCAATGCTATCTTTTATTGAAATGCTTTGAAGTTAAAGGTGAGAGTCATGCTTTTGTTATACATGGCTTGGTGAGTCCACATCTCAAAAACTGTCCAGTTTTAGTCTCTTTATTTAAGAACGGACGTAAATGTGTTTGAGGTGTTTCAAAGGTTTAATAGATTGATATCTGGTTTGAATGGGTTGTGTTATAATGATGGGCTTATTTCCACTGGAGGTCAGGGAAGGGAAGGATAACTGATTGAAGTTTATAAGATGCTAGACAACGTGGATGTGGAAAAGATGTTTCCTCTTGTGCATGAGTCCAAAATTAGTGGGGGCAATTAGTGAAGAGATCTTTTCTCAGAGGGCTGTGTGACTTTGCAACTCTCTGCCTCAGAAGGCAGTGAAATCGGGGCCATTGAGTATTGTTAAGGTGGAGGTGGATATTTTCTTGTTAGGCAGGGGATCAGAGGTTATCAGGGATAGACGGGAATGTGGAATTCAAACACAAACAGATAGGCCACAATCTTATTGGATATTGGGGGGTGCTGAATTGTCTATCTCTCCTCCTATTTCATATGTTGTGAACTGTCTGATTCAGCTTCAGGATGGGGTCAGCGAGAGGGATGAAGTCAGTGATTAGTGAATGTAATTTATGATTGAGATGAGATAGTGACTTCAGTCTGTCCAATATTTAACTGGAGAACATTTAGGTTTGAAGGGATATGGGCCAATGTAGGTAAATGGGGCTAATACAGTTTTGGGAACCTGGTCAGCATGGAAGAGTTGAGCCAAAGGGACAGTTTCCAAGCTGTTTACCTCTATGACTCTATAACATTTGTGTTTTTATCCAGTGCTGGATGTCAGACAATGTGACCTGCCTGGGCCAGGGGAGGTGCCGAAGGAAGTGGCAGTGAGGTAGCACTAGCTGTTGACAGTGTAGGGACAGAGGGAGAGTTCAGGGAGGAGGGGTAAAAGATAATCAGAGGTTTCAGTGCAATTCCCTTCCAGCCACCCTTCCCCATCTCTGCCTGTCACTCTCACCACACTCCCCCCCACTCCCTTACCATTACTCTCCCCACCCAGACTACCTGCACAATTTTACTGAATAACCTACAGGACAAATACAAGTAAAATAGGCCTCAAATTTCCATTCTCCAACCATTTCAGTCTGAACTAATGCCCTGCCGAAGATTTGAGATTCCAAACAATTTTATCCTCACAGCAAATCAGTTGGTTGAGGTTTCAATCTCACTTCTTGGGAGCCCCTTACAACAGACAGATCCCTTCACAGACAGACTCCTTCCAGCAGGCAGATCCCTCACAACAGATAGATCCTTTACAATAGATCCCTTACAACAGACAGATCCCTTTCTTGCATACAGATCCCTCTCAATGTACAATTCAAGAGAGGAGAGTGTTGAGCTGTAGCTGATCAAAAACTCATTTTGGCCAATGTGTCAATCATATTACCTTGTTCCTTCCCTTATTAACTCCAAACATCTCTTTTCTCAAAACACACAGGTCCGGGTCACTGTGTCATGGATAAAGATGTCAGTCTCAAAGTTTGAAGGATACTAAATGATGGCCGACCCATCATTCAATGCATAATGCAGCTTACTTAAAGCAGGGTTCTCCACTTTTAAATTTGGAATTAGAGGTATCCCATCCTTTACAAGTGGCATCTCTGGCATTGCCATGTACTTCCTGAATCTAGGTTCAATTTTGGCCTCTTCATAATGCAGCAGAATCACTGGCTTGTCAAATCCATATTTCATCATCACTGACTTTTCAAAATTGCTGAATAGAAAACAGAGGAGAAAATTGGTTAGGTATCGTGGTGGAAGGGTTTGAATAATTAGTAAGTATTGGAACAGGTTCTCTAAACACCTTTAGACCTGGTGCAGAAACCTGGATCCTGGTACTGAGATGACCTTTAACCTAGAAGCAGTACAAGAAATGAAAATGTCTAGTTTCTCTGAAAACTCCGTGGAATCTATAATTGTTTTTAAGGTTGTTTGAAAAATGACTTTTAACAATTTGCTTCAGTTGTGAAGAGATCGATTATAATTTTCTTGGATAATGACAAATACTGATTCATATGACTTGGCAACCCCTTGACCTGGAAGCAGTACCCATAGGACAGATGTTAAGAAAAAAATTATGTAACTGGCAGATTCAAAGGACAACTACATGCTAAGGTGCTGGAGGGTGAAAACAATCATGTTAGAGATGCATACATGAGCAGAAATGATTTTGTTGTTGTAATAAGGTGTGCAGCAGAAGCCAGTATTTGGTGAACAATATGACATTCAATATGACATGGTATGTGTGAGACACAGAGAGAAGCAAATTCTATGATAGGCAGTGCTGCTGTTAGTTTTGCTACTAAATGCCACTAATAAAGGGCAAATAAAGTCCTAGAGCTCTTGAAGATCTGTATTTAGTGAGGGCTCAGGGAGGTCTCAGGTACAATAAAGAGCTCAAAAGATGCACATGTCCAACTAATAACAGTGCAACTGAACCAGATGGATTCAGTATAATTGAGGCTCAGAGGAATCTTAGAATGGCCCCTATATATCTCTGCAGAGTGTGGGCTCAGAGAAGTCCTGGGAGCCATGAGGGCTCAGAAGAAGCTTTATGCAATAAGCACTCAGAGCAGCAGGGAGTGACGTTTGAAAGCCAATGCATCGAATTTATTTTGCACAACTGAGCCAAAGTAGAGCTCAGGGATCAAATCTGAGGCAATATGTATTTGGTGAAGTTCTCTGTTTGTATAAGGCTATCGTTGTGTCTGTGAGTAATTGCTGGAGTACAGTATCCAAGAAACCAAGAGAACCTAGTCCCAGGAAAACAAGGTGGAACACTAGAGCATGACAATTATTGAGGCAGTCTATGACGGAGTGGTTCTTGAGGAACTTTAAAGGAACTTTGTAATCCCTTATGATACATTAATGAGATTTGGTGTCCCACAGCATCCCTAACGTGTGTGTGTGTTTGGGGATTGGGAAGTGTTGTTGGTGACCACAGAGAGATCTTTTTGATCTCAAACTTGCTATTTAATATGTGATGTGGGTTCCTTGTTCATCGTAAGATAAATACCCATATTTGCCTCATATTAAATTCAGGATGTTAGAGTATAAATCATATTTACCTTTGCATAGCCGAAACTGCTTTTTGCCAATAACTTTTTCATGTTTGTTTGAGTGAATTTTATTTGCAATGAATTTGTTATTCTTAGTTACTGGAAGAAACCTGCCTGAATTGTTTCTAAAATCTATATAATTAGCCACGTCATCGCTCTGATTAAATTTAAAATTTGTTACGACCAACAGAGCAGTGGGGACAAGAAAAGAATTGCTTGGACGAAACAGAAAGCTGACAGAGATGAAAAGAGGAACAGAAAGAATTCTTGACAGGAGAAGAAGTAAATCTCTCTTAGGAAAACATCAGTTATTTGGTTCAAGAAAAGTAGACATGAACTCTTTTTTGCGAGCTGGCTGAAAAAAAAGTGTAAAACCTGGAAAGCTGTGTGAATAATGCTAAAGAGCTGGGTGTTGAGTAGCAGTGGCCAAACCACAAATCTGAGGTTATTGATTCGTTGGTTGGTAAAGAACTATGGAAATCAGAACTGTCATGACTCGAGGGAGAGTGGTTTGTGGAAGTGTGCCTGGGAAAGCTAGTTGGATAGGACTCCTGATCTAGCCGTCCTGAATAACAGACAGAATGCTACAGCAGTGTCAGCTACGCAGTGTCGTATGTCCGGGAGGAATGATGGACGTTTCTGCACTAGATATCTTTAACTATTTACCATGAAGTGTATCTATTTCAAGTGACATTTGTCTCTTAATTCGTGTTTCATTTCTATTGGTACTGATTTCTGTTAAAGGGAAGGTTACAAAAAGTGAGATCTTGTTCATAATTTTGACACTTGGGGGTCATTCAGTAGATACGTCCTTTTGGCATTTGATTCCTCAGAAGGCATGTTGGTGGGAGTGGGGGTCAGGGGCAGGTGGGGGGAGCTGGGGGTAAGTATGGATCATATGACGCACTCGTTACACAGTGCACTATGAACCAGGGAAGATAGGTTTAACTTCAAACTGTGGCAAATGTTCATGCCTATGACAATGAGCTTATTATGCTAGCAGGCTCCACCACTGAACAGCCAGTAAACTACAAGCTGATTTGCAGTTATCCTGGGAGGGACTGATCAGCCAGATGAAGCGACACAGAATGACTGGCTCCAAAAATATTGTATTGTAGAATAATCCAGTACCAGAAGAGGCCATTCAGCCCAATTGTGCTTGTCCTATCTCTATTGAGTCCCACTTCCTTGTTCTTTCCCTACAGGCAAGCACGTTTTCCTTTTGAAGTATTTATCTAATTCCATTTTGCAAGTTATCACTGAAACTCCTTCCACCATCCTTTCACGCAGCGCATTCCAGATCACAACAACTCAGTTATCTGTAAGAATAATAGGGTTGTAATGGTAGAGGATTTTAACTGTCCAAACGTGGACTGCCATAGTGATAAGGGCTTGAATGGCGAGGTATTTGTTAAGCGTGTACAAGAACATTTTCTTATTCAGTATGTGGATGTACCTGCTAGAGAACAAGCAAAACTTGACCTACTCTTGGGAAATAAGGCAAAGCAAGTGACTGAGGTGTCAATAGGGGAGAACTTTGGGGCCAGTGATCATAATTCAATTATTTTTAAAATAGTTATGGAGAAGAATAGACTTGATCTAAAAGTTAAAGTTCTAAATTGGAGTAAGGCCAATGTTGATGGTATGGCAAGAAGTTTCAAAAGTGGAGAAGCTATTTGCAGGTAAAGGGACGGCTGGAAAGTGGGATGCCTTCAAATATGAGATGACGAGAGTCCAGAGACAGTATGTTCCTGTTAGTATAAATGGCAAGGCTGGTAGGTGTAGGGAATGCTGGATGACTGGAAGAATTGAGGCTCTGGTCAAGAAAAAGAAAGAAGCATAGGTCAGGTAGAGACAGCTGGGATTGAGTGAATCTGTAGTGATTGTAATAAGGTTGGCCAGGTGGATTTTGTTGAGTATGAGATCCCTGATTGGGGCTGCTAACCTGTGCCAATCAGGGAGCCCTGGCTGACAGATATAAACAGGAGTCTCTGAGACTCCTTACTCTGGGGACTGGCTCTGAGATGGCTGGTCAGAGCCCATTTACTGTGCACAAGTTAAAAGAAAAGGGTGATTTGGAGACAGGATACCGGCCTCCACGGCGTTACTTCAATGGCGATGACAGAAAACAGTACAGTCCTAAAGAAATGTGCTTGCAATGATTGTCTTTGTGTTGGGGTAAGCATTTCTGGCATCATACCTTTATTTGGGAAGCTTGACTTGTTTGATCCTGCTGTCAAAGACTGGGCCCAGGATATGGAAAAAACGTGTAATTTTTTCCGGGCAAATGACACTGGGGCAAATGAAAAGCAACAAGTAATTCTTCCAACTGTTTGCGGGCCCGCAGCATTTTCGGCTATTTGGAAACTTTATTTTCCTGAGGCACCAGATATTAAAACCTTTCAAGAGTTGACAGATTTAGTTGAGGAATGTTACGACCCCAAGCCTCCACTATTTCTGAGACGTCATCAGTTTTATTTGGCTGTTCGAGAACCAGGGAAATACGTATTGGGATTTTTGACAAAGTAAAGACGGCTGGCAGTTACGTGATTTTGGTTTAACCCTGAATGAGATGCTGAGAGACCATTTGGTATGTGGGATTAATAACCATGCAAAAGTGAAGCTCAACTGGACTTCAAACTGGTACTACAACTGGCTCTGTCATTAGAAAATGCAGCAAGTGGAGCAAGGGAGCTACAGGGTATCCCATTAGAAGTGGACACCCTCACCTGTCTAACTGAGCTTCGGGAACACCAAGGCTATGGGCCAATACACATTGCCTGTGTCCAAGTCAGAGTTGGAGGAACTGGACATGGGGCAAAATGTCCCAGGAGAAGCTACAAGAGAAAGAACAGGCCTATATGCCCAGAATTAGGGAGTGAGGGATGTAGTGATTGGAACGAGGGTGGCCAGGTCGAGCTCATTGAATATGACTTCCCTGATGGAGGCTGTTAACCTGGACCAATCAGGGAGCCCTGGCTAACAGATATAGACAGGAGTCTCAGAGCCTCCTCACTCAAGGGACTGGCTCTGAGCTAGCTGGTCAGAATCCATTTACTGTACACATGCAAATAAAGGGTGATTTAGAAACAGGATACCGGCCTTCGTGACACTATTTCAGAATCCCCAGAGGATTCTACTCAAAAGGGAAATCAGGAGGGCAAAAAGGTGACATGAAATAGCTTTGACAAATAGGGTTAAGGAGAATCCAAAAAGATTCTACAAATAAATTAAGGACAAAAGAGAAATTAGGGAGTAAATAGGGCCCCTTTAAGATCAACATGGCCACCTATGTGTGGAACCACATGAGATGGGTGAGATACTGAACGAATATTTCACGTCAGTTTTTACTGTGGAGAAGGATATGGAAGCTAGAGAATGTGGAGAAATAAATAGTGATATCTTGAATTGTCCATATTAGAGGAGGAGGTGCTGTACAGCTTAAAATGCATATAGGTGGATAAATCCCCGCGACCAGAACAAGTGTATCCCAGAGCTTTGTGGGAAGTTTTGGAAATGATTTCTAGGCCCCTTGCTGAGATATTCATATCATCAATGGCCAAGGGTGAAGTGCTGAAGAAGACTGGAGGTTGTCTGATGTGGTGCCATTATTTAAGAAAGGTGGTAAGGAAAAGCCAGGGAACCACAGACCGGTGAGCCCGATGTCAGTGGTGGGTAAGTTGTTGGAAGGGATTCTGAGGGACAGGATTTATATGTATTTGGAAAAACAACGACTAATTAGGGATGGTTAAAATGGCTCTGTGCATGGGAAATCATATCTCACTAACTTGATTGAGTTTTTTGAAGAAATGACACATAAGATTGATGAAGGCAGAGCAGTGGATATTGTCTATATGGGCTTCAGCATGGTGTTTGACAGGTTGCACATGGTAGATTGATTAGCAAGGTTAGATCACATAGATTGCTGGAAAAGCTCAGAAAGTCCTGCAGCATCTGTGGAGAGAAATCAGAGTTAACGTTTCAGGTCCAGTGACCCTTCCTCAGAACTGATGACAGCTAGGGAAATGTTGGTTTTAATGCAGAAGGTGGGGTGAGGGGAGCGGGTAAGGAGTAAATGATAAGTGGAGATAGAGCCCAAAGTGGGAGAAGAATGAAAGGACAGAGAAGGGAGTGGATAATGATCAGCCTAAGGGGGTGAATAGCTACTAATGGGAACTGTTAGTGGCTAACAATGGGTTGTGTGTAATAGCAGACCATGTGATAACAAGGCCTGATGTGTGGGGGTTGAGGTAAGGACATGGGAGAGCAAAGCCTAAAAATTGTTGAACTCAATATTGAGTCCAGAAGGCTGTAGAGTTCCCGAGTTTGTGCTGATCTTTGCTGGAGCACTGCAGCAAGCCTGAGGGAGAGATGTTGGCCAGGGAACAGGTTGGAATGTTGAAATGGCAGGCAACTGGAAACTCAGGGTCTTTTTTTGTGGACTGGTCTTCTCTCTTTTTGGGCTTTATCTCCACCTATCGTTTATTCCTAACCCCTCCTCTCACCCTATCTTCCACATAAAATCCAACATTTTCCTAGCTGCCATCAATTCTGAGGAAGGACCCAGAACATTAACTCTGATTATCTCCACAGATGCTGCCAGATCTGCTGAGCTTCTTCAGCAATTTCTAGTTTTGTTTCTGATTTCCAGCATCCACAGTTCTTTCGGTTTGTATTTAGATAACATGGTATACAGGGAGAGCTAGCCAGTTGGATACAAAATTGGCTTGAGGGTAGAATACAGAGGGTGGTGGTGGAGGGTTGCTTTTCAGACTGGAGGTCTGTGACCAACAGTGTGCCACAAGGATTGGTGCTGGGTCCACAGCTTTTTGTCATTTATATAAATGATTTGGATGTGAATATAGGAGGTATGGTTAGTAAGTTTGCAGATAATACCAAAATTGGTGGTGCAGGGGACAGAGAAGATGGTTATCTTGGAGTACAATGGGACTTTGATCAGATGGGCCAAGGAGTGGCAGATAGAGTTTAGATGAATGTGAGGTGTTGCATTTTGGTAAGGCAAATCAGGGCAGGAAGGGTCCTGGGGAGTATTGCTGAGCAAAGAGACCTGGAGGTGCAGGTTCATAGCTCCATGACAGTAGAGTTGCAGGTATATAAGACAGTGAAGAAGGCACTTGGTACGCTTGCCTTTATTGGTCAGTGCAGTATAGGAGTTGGGATGTCATATTGCAGCTGTACAGGACTTTGGTTAGGCCACTTTTGGTATACTGTGTTCAGTTCTGGTCTCACTGCTATGGGAAAGATGTTGTTAAACTTGAAGAAGTTCGGAAAAGATTTACAAGGATGTTGCCAAGATTGGAGGGTTTGAGCTATAGGGACAGGCCGAGTAGGCTGGGGCTTTTTTCTCTGGAGTGTCGGAGGCTGAGGCGAGACTTTATAGAGGTTTATGAAACCATGAGGTGCATGAATAGGATGAATTGACAAGGTCTTTTCCTCAGGGCAGGGGAGTCCAAAACTAGAGGGCATAGGTTTAAGGTGAGAGGGGAAAGATTTAAAAGGGTCCTGAGGGGCAACTTTTTCACGCAGAGGGTGTTGTGCATGTGGAATGAGCTGCCAGAGGAAATGGTGGAGGCTGGTACAATTACAACAATTGAAAGGAATCTGGATGGGTACATGAATAGGAAGGGTTTGGAGGGATATGGGCCAAATGCTGACAAACGGGACAAACAGGTCAGATTGGGATGTCTGGTCAGCATGGATGAGTTGGACTCAGGGGTCTTTTTCCATGCTGTATAACTCTCTGACTCTTTCCTTCATCCTGTCTCAGGTGAAGGCAGCATGTAACCTGAGGGTGAGACAGGTGGAGATGACCTCCTCAAGTGACAGATACCTGGATGGTCACTGGTGCTAACCAGCTCCACTAGGATGGAACCCGGACCTCCTGAAGCTCATATGCAGAGTAAAGTGACCTCTCAACATGCTGATTTATGCTGGGTGTATCCCCTCCTTCCAACAGGAACTCAATTCCCATTCCTCCTGCCCCGTAGAGGGGCGGGTGACTCAGGAAAGGGCACCTGGTGTTGGCGTTCGTGTTAATGCTCTCCCTCCATTTTCCTCACTAGAGGTCTATGTGTTGAACTGTGTAGGCTGTTCTTATGCCAGGGTGAAGGCTGGCACCATAGAGGAGGAATTGAAGGTGAGTGAAGTGCAAGGCAAATGAAGCCACTTCCAAGAAGTTGGCAATTCCCTGCCAAGTGCTGGCAGCGTTCCCTCAGAAGGCTCAGTGTGTGGGAAGCAGCCTAATGCCTGGCCCCTGACTAAAGCTCTTGAATCTCACTGATCAAAAACTGTCAGCTTCACTGGAGAAACCACACTCTCAGATGAGTTCCTGCACTATCTGTTAAAGCCAGATTGGTCTGTTCAAACAGCAGTTAGAGACCCCTGTGGAATCTTCAGCCTTGCCCTGATGAAATCTGGCAGTAGGGCAGGATGGTGCTGGGATTCTGGCCTGATTTCTCATATGGTGACTTTAATGGCACATCCCCAAACCCACATCCCCTTGCCACCTCCAAGCCCACATCGTGCTTCCCCGCCCCCCAAACTCTGATTGTATTGTTAATTGTCTGAAATCTGTGTCTCTAGTTAATGACTGTACAGTGATTGAGGAAACCAGCTTCTCCTTGTGTACTGCTGGATAAAAATACAATTCATTAATAAATCAGTGTTGTCCTCTCATCTCATGTAAATGAGAGTTTTTACCCTGAACTCTGTCTTTTGTGAATTGTTTTGATGAGTGCAAGACTAAAAGCTTTGACCAAATGTGTCTTCTTTCAGCAAAATGCAAGTTTCTCCTTGCTAACTCTATCAAGGCCAATTGTAATTGCAAATGCTTCTATTAAATGTGCTTATAATCATCTGCATTCCAAGCAGATTTCTCCAAAAGACACTCATCACCAGTGTCGTCCTGTTAAATTCCTCTGCATCTTCTGCAAGGTCTTGATTACCCTGAGCACATTAAAACATCAGGAAATGATTCTATTTTAAATAATTACATCTTTGTATTTTCGACTTGAAGTTTTTCCAACATCAGGGTGTAAATCTCCCTCCAGTTCAGTTTTGCAATGGTTTCATCATATGGTTTGATAATCCACCCTAGCAAACAACCAAAGGAAGGCAATTAATGCTGTGACAGTAAATATTAAAGAATCATTCTCAGGCATTGGTGCGGCTGGTTATTGCTTATTCTGCTTCCTTGACTCAGAACTCAAAGATAAAATAATCTGCGAATTTTCTCTACCCTTAACAAAAGTGCCTTACCTTGGTCCAGGCAGGCTTTCGATGAGACTGAGAAATTTATTGTGAACCCTAGAAATTAAACACAAGCAAAATTTCAAACCCAGCGCCTTCTGGATCATCAGTGCATGTACCTTATTGCTACTTATTCATTTAAGCCTTAAACTTAAACAGAGGTCAATCAGGGGTCAGATCTGGAAATACTAGACGCCTAAAGGATAATGGAATTTCAGAAGCTTCTCCCCCAAAAGGCTGAGGAACAATGGAAAGGTTCAAGTCTGAGATAGGTGGATCCGATGAAAGGTGATTGACCTGAAATTTGGGCTATTTTAATCCTGAATATTATTTTAAATGTAACCATAGCTGCCCAGGTCTTCAGGAAAACCAAAAGCCAAAGGACTGTCACATCCAGCTTTCCGTTTTCCAGATGGATCCATTTTATGCACTTCACCAACTCCCAGAAATGGCACCATCCACCCCATGTCTCCCATGTGTCCTGGTCTCTGACCTCCCCCGATCTTAACACCCCCACCCCCCTCTCTCCCATCATCCAAGCCTTTCCCATCTCTCTCACTCCTCCCTTCTCTTCACTCACCAGTTGTTGGCTGTCCACCCTACCCCACAATCAACCAAACTCTCACTCTGCCTGGATGCAGCCAGGAAACGGTGACAAAACAAATGATGGAAGCTCCATATATTTGTACCTAGGGACCTGTTGCCTGAAGGCAAAACGAGATGTTAAGACCCTTCTGCCTTGCCTGACTGTTCAGGTGGGTGTTAAAAACACAGCAACAGCAACACTGCTGGTGTCTTGGGCATTGCTTCCTCAACTCAAACACTGAATAAAACACTCAATGGGTCTATCATCTAATTTCTAGTTAAAGAAATTTCACAGTGTGCACAACGGCTGCTTATATTTCACAACACTGAAGTATTTCATTGATTATCTATTGTTATGATTTCTGTATAAATGCAAAGGCTGTGTATATGTAAAATTACCAAACAGATTGCCAGAACACAGCTTAACAGCGAGACAGTAGGAACTGCCGATGCTGGAGAATCTGAGATAACAAGGCGTAGAGCTGGATGAACACAACAGGCCAAGCAGCATCAGAGGAGCAGGAAGGCTGACATTTCAGGTCTT